GCCGTTCAATAGTCATTGAATATTTGAAGCAAGCAACTGCATAAATGCCACGATACTGGCGCAGTCATGGGTTTCTGAAAAATTGCGTTCTGGGTCGACCCATGCAACTCTCCTGCACTAGACGACCTTGTCAATCTAACCATTGCACTCCGCGTTCTCTCATAACGGAGGAACAAGCGCGCCCTTCGGATACGCTGTCGCACCTTCGGTCGTAGGCGTTTAGGATGGGACAGTCCAGCTCCGCTAGGCTCACAGTACCTTCCAAGGGTTTGTGGAAATCCTATTGCCATTTGATGACTTTTTCTGTTATTTGGGACCTGAAATTAAACCTCATATTGGTATTTTCCTCAAGTGGTTTGACCTGAACCAGTAGCAACAACGGATTACTTTCGGTTTTCGCGGAATGGTGATGGTTTGCCAAGACTTTGACTTGGGAGTATTTTTGGGTGTCCGATGTCAGCTTCAGTACCTCCTTTCCATAGGGTCCGAGCGGTACCATGCATTAGATTAACATGCCGCCAAATTTCTCCAAACCCATTTGGTTACAGTCTCGATCACGTTTGGCTCACAAGGGGTATGTTGGCTTTTAAATGTCAAAAGTAGGCAGTCCGAACGTTTCTTGAGGTCTTTATGGTTTCAGGATGATATGAAGGACTCAGGGTTGTCACTCGTTCAAGGGACTTCCGTTCACGACTCCCATATTCATTGTATAGTTATTGTATGGGTTTTGTTGCCACAACAATGTTCGCGGTTTGCGGTCTGCTTTCGGAAGTGCCCTGCAGTCTCAACTTGGTCTGAAGCTGAACGAAGTCATTATGAATCGAAGAGTTAGTGACAGCACTCTGCAGGACGTTCAACGTGTCGAGAAGAAACGGCTCATTACTCTTCTTAGCCATGCGTGTCCGTTTGGTCCTACTGGTCTCTAACGTCCCTCCCGCTGAGGTTACTTGGATATCAGCATCTTAATATGAGCAAATTGCTACCCGATAGCTACGTTTGGAAAGGGTGAATACGTGGTTTTTGTTTGGAAGTGGAAGAAACCCAGTAATTTTTCTTGGAGCTTAGCACGCAACAGCAACAGTGCAAGACCGCCCTGGTTCAAATGTTCTCCGACTTTGGTTGTTGAAGGCTGAGGTACATAGTTGTTAGAACACCTCGTTTAAACATGTGAGCCCACCAGAAACCCTTGATCGTTGTTTACCCGGAAAACAGTTGTACCCTAATAGATACAATCGGAACATCGCTTGTCACTTTAGCGCGTGCTCGAGCCGATCTCAGGGTAAGACGTAACAGCTGACAAACCGAAAAGCCGTTGACCCCAACGACGATGCCCCGACTGCATCCATAAGTCTAGTCCCGAACAAAAACAACCTCCGATTGTCTGCAAAGCATCAGTTCGAGCCAAATCTCCGACGTCCCCATCACAAGAAGGCGTTAGTGGCGGTAATGATCACTCCTGTCATAAGACTCGAAGTAGCTCAGTGGTTAAGGCATAAACTTACTGACCGGAAGGTCCGTGGTTCGAATCCGACCTCGACTGCTCCTGTCTAGGCTTGGATGATCTGGCAGTATCCCAGTCCTCATGCTTCCTTCAGTTGGCATAGCAGCGAGGCACCTAAAGGGTGTTGAATGGTTATTGACTATCATTATTATTACTATTATTAAGACTTGATCCATCCAAACCATGAGTATGAGCACTGCGGGATTCCAGCACCATACTGTACGACGTCTGCCTTATTATTTAGCTACGACAAACAGCTGGTTATCGTATGATCGGAAAGTCAGCGGCTGATTTTACTGATTTTACTGCTTTAACCAGTAATAAAAGCGTATTCAGTTTTCTTGACGAGTGATCTGAACGCCCAAGTTCAACGAAAAGGCCCGGAAGAAGCACAGTTAGGTGAACGGTTCGGGTTCGATTCTCAGCGTGCGAATAACGGGAAATGACTTGTTCACCTATATTCTGAACATCCTCCCTTCCTAGCTAGCACGAACCTTCAGCATCAGCTCTCACACCGAGTTACTCGGAGACTATCACTAGCAAGCCAGTCGTGGATTCAGTTAGATCAAGTGGCTCTCAGTTACCACTGGAGATTCTCAGAGATTTCCTTTCTGGGGTGTGCACCCCGACTTTTATCAGTCCTGCAAGGCCTTTTTATGTGGGATGTTGAATTCTGACCGAAGCGGGTGGGAACACTTATCCGGGATTCAAACAGTGCCACTACTTTGCCACCGTGTCACAGGCGAAACTCTCGGCACTGTGCAAAGCTGTGGTGACCACTTTCAACATCTTCCAACGTCATGACTTCGGAATCTTCCAGTCTATCAGTTAGTAAGCGATCTGCACGCCACTTACGCGGCCCTGGAAGTCGAAGGGGAAAGTGACTCCAAACGAGCGCATGACCAGAGTCCACACAAGTGTTCTCAAACATCTTTTATCGTGTCACAGGCGAAACTCTCGGCACTGTGCAAAGCTGTGGTGACCACTTTCAACATCTTCCAACGTCATGACTTCGGAATCTTCCAGTCTATCAGTTAGTAAGCGATCTGCACGCCACTTACGCGGCCCTGGAAGTCGAAGGGGAAAGTGACTCCAAACGAGCGCATGACCAGAGTCCACACAAGTGTTCTCAAACAAGCGGCGGTAGTTGTTGATCCGCCCTGTCGGCGACTGATGGTGGTGTGACCAATTTAGGTACGCCGCTGGTACTTGTTGGAGGACACCATGTGGCCAAACGACTTCGGCTATTTCGGGAATTAGTACTGCTCAAAAACAGGCTGCGAACAGCACACAGTTAGACAAATCGTTCCTCATTGTCTGTACGTACCGAGTCCAATCAATATCGGCCTTCTAATTGAGTCTCAGATGTGCGAAGTCTACCAACTTGTACATTCAGATATCTGGCAACCACCACGATATCTGAACTTCTAGCTCGCCGCAGTAGAACATTCAGACCCTCGTAAAAACCGTCCTTGGTGGCGTCGGAGCTACAGTCAGTTGGGAAGTAAGCACGCGATAGACATCTACCAACTTCCCACTTGTGAGACTCCTTCACATAGGCTGAAATGACAAGTGAAAGTGAATTAATGGAAATAGCAGTAAAGCGTAACTTTCACTACAACCAGACGAACCATAAAGGGCAATATTAAAAGGTATTCAACCAAGCAATGATCCTTCCGTCCGGTAACTCAGGACAATACCAACCCCTGCACATCCCGCCGCAGCAGCCTCTGCATCACCAGAGGTGGGCAGCCGGAACTGAGTGGAGATTGATAGAACAGTTAGCTCAATCACTGTGCTTGTATCTTGAATTCTTGTGTTTGATACATCAGTGCCAAGCGAGTCCAGTGTGAGAACAAGAGCAGCTTGTTTTCCCACTTGCTTCAGAGTGCGGACATTAAATGCGGCCAGATAGACTGGGCGTCGAAGCCTGTAGATTGATTTCGAGATGTCTGAGGTGATTGGCAGATGATACGCAGGTGTTGCTTGCAAAACCGATGCAAGACATACGGAGTCATCAGTCCTAACTGTTGGGCCTACGATGGGAGAGTTATTAATGGGTTGGGGAGAGGAAGAAGAAAAGGCGTTTAAAAGAGAAAGAAGAGGCGTCAGCAGTAGCTTGTTTTTGCTTACCCACCCTGTTGTATGCTGCAAGTAAGGCTGCCTGGCTGGTGACACCACGCGACGGCCGATGTGGCATGAGTTTATTCATGTGTGCAATCCATGGTTGTATCTGGGATTGAATACGACCAGGACGCCCAGCCCTAGACAGCAGGATGATTAGAGTCCTCAACTAAAGCCTTTGGCTCAAATGGCTTACTGTAAGCCATCGGGGCTTCTTGGGAAATGCGGGTGCATTATTACTTAGAGAAAAAGTCGGCATGTTTTCCAACCCCCAACCTGGAGGACCAGGGGAATGTTGGTCAGACCCCTTACCATTGGTCAACCTGGTGTGAGAGACTGTGGGTGTCGCGCGGACACCTCTAGCGTGGCTCAATGAGTCGTGGTGGTACACAAACCCTTGCACCACGGTATTTTCCCCTCTCCATAACGATTCGCTTTCAACTTGATTCAATACCCTGTTGATCGGTGATAAAATAATCCGTGCTAACAACCTTAGTACTTAACCAACTCAAAGTGAAGTACAGGTTGCCAGTGGCAATGTTCTAGATGTTCTCTTAACCCCCTGTGCAGGTGGACAGGTAACTTCCCATTGCTGACGATGTGGTAGCTTTCTAGGCTCTTTCAGAGGCGCACTCTAAACAAATTTTTGTCAGATCGTTCCCCAAATCACCCTTATTCCGTGCGGACCAACTGAGGTTACCCTAATGCGTCCTCATCACCATTACTGTATGCAGCATTGAGCCCATTTCGTGCTCACATGGTCGGCGGTTTCGTTTGTCTGGATAACTAAGGGTGAGAAGAAATACGTCTAAAAGTGCAATACTCATAGAATAGGTTTAGGAACTCCTGAATAGGATTGTAAGGACTGTAGCCAGAAGGTTGAGCTTACTGAAGTGGACCGACCGGTTTATTTACGAAAACTTGCCAATGACGATAGGATGTTGACACTCCGGAAGGTGTCTGTTGTAACTGTGCTACTAATTTAGATTTTGACGCTCTTTGTTGCCCCAGCATGCATGTCGAACCATCAAGTTGTTCTTAAGAAATACATTCCACCAAGTCCAGTTGTTTTATTAATTGCACACTGCCTCATCGATAAACAACCTAGAAGTTCCGTAACGCGGGATATGATAAGCCACAGTGGAAGAGAGGACATTATTAGAAACGAAATGGAAATGTTCGTTTGGAGGCTGCTTTCTCAACAGTATCTAATCATTGGTTGGAGTTATAATCTCGTCCTCATCCTGGTAGACGGGATCCACTAGTTGTTTTCCTCATGCATGAAAAAGTGACCGGAACTGTAGACTCCAACCAGACTCCACAGCACACAGGTCTCAAGGTTACGTTGCGGAGGCATTCAGCTTGATATACTTAATACTGGATGATTGTTCAAAGTCCGTGGACAGCCCACTTTCACTTCCGTTCTATGCAAGGCCCAGTAGACAGTCCTAATTCTACAAATAAGCCCAAAATTGCGTGAAACTGGTAGCGGAATGTCTTCAGATTTTCCGCAATCCCTCACACCACTTATAAGAAATATCACCATCTGACAAAACGTTATTGAATATCTTCACAGTGAAATGTCGGACAGCATTTTTGCTGCACGCTGCGTCGAAGCATATCCGAATTCTACTGAGTATGA